ATCAATTCATTTGTCAACACTTTCAAACATTAATCTAGCGGGATTATTTATGCAATAGTAACTGCAGTGTAAATGCATTCATGCCACCACTGAGCTGTGTGTAAAAATACCTGAATCTCACTTCAGATGCAGCTGTGGCTATTTATTTGGATTTCATTTGACTGATAATAGCCTTATATTGTCATATTTGAAAAGTTAGAAGTTAGAAAAAATTGCCATTAAAGGGTAAAAATGCCCCAGAAATCAGTTTAGGTGAAAAATATGTCCCCTAATGGAAAAGTGTATTTCTGTCACTGCTGTGAACTGACCACCACACAGAATATGAAGAATGCCAATCAAATCAAAGAGGGCGGGGCTTCACTCTTCACAGAAACTGACAGGAATTCAGTGCCAGAGTGAGCTGTAAACATTCACTAACTCACAACTGTTTACAACAGAAACCTTACATGACTGGCAGGAATAATATCCGGTGACTACTTGACTCGACAAATTGCACCACTTTGAATTAAAAATAATTTACTTGATTCATGTAATTCGTAATTGAATGCGAGTAGCCTGAAATAACTGTAACTATTGCCATAATGTTTAAATCATGCAAATGAAGGCTCCACAGTTTAGTAAGTGGTCATTTGAGTGCATGATATTTTCCTCTTCATGTTCTGTATGTTTCATCTCATGGACACCTTATAAAGCACCACAAAACTTACTTACATCACCAAACATGCTTACTCTTGATCATTTGTGCTCCTATTCTAAGCTACACAAATGTTTTTTGTTGTTATTGCATCTGTCTCCTCATGCATTGCTTTGCGTTTTTTCCTTGTAAATTGTAAAAACATGACATGCAATTGTAATATGTTGCATGTAAGTGAACCCCTTTAAACATATTTTGCTGAAAATTTTGACGAGGCATTAAGAACACAAACTACATTAAATGCAACATTAAAAAAAATCATTCATACCTGAAAGTCTTCAATGCTTCTTTCTCTCCGTGTGATTTAAGCCTCCGAAGAGGAGATGATGCTCTTTATCAGCTGCAGGATTCCTACCGACGATCAGACTGAATCCTAATAAATCCTTTATGTCACTCGAATCATTTCAACAGAGGATCTGACGAATGACAAGAAAGTGTTAGCATTTTGTCCTTTCATAGTGTTCCGCAGAAAGGTCTGTGCAAGTGAAGTTCTCTGAAAACCCGAAATGTGTGAGAAGTAGGTGAGATATTATTAAATGGAATGAAATCCAGAGTTGCTCTCGTACAGATGATTCAGTTCGGCCCCCTAGTGACTCTCTGAAGAGGCTCCTACAAATAACTCGGTCTAAAGCGGTTAATGCAATGCAAAGGTCTTCAAAGATGGAAGGAGATCCAGCATTCAGGAGGCTCTTTAAACACAATGCTGGAAAACAATGTAAGAAAACTCACACAATTAACACAGGCTGGTGTTTTTAAATAGGATGAAGACTCATGTGTATGTCACTGCCTCCTCACCTGAGACAGAGCTCATTTTAAACTGGGACATTATGTAGGTCACTGCAAAGAGAAATAGAAGAACAGAAGCGGAGCGTCACGCAGCCTGCAGATCACACGCAATAATCCAGCAATGACTGATCAATCAGACTGAAAACACAAAGGACATTTTGATCTGATTGAAACGGGTGGTGAAAACTCACTCTACGTGATTCTGAACACTGCGAATATTGCTTGGAACATTAGATGTAAGACACCTGTAAACGAGTATCTGAATGAGTTTGTGCTCTCCAGTTGTAATAGTAGGCCTAATAATCCTTGTGTCATCGAACATCAGCAAACTGGCTATAAACTGATAGTGAAAAACACCTGTTTATGACAGTGTGTCATTGGAAAAGAATTCATGATGAATCTGTGTCTGCTTTCTCACCTCACATGATACAGCTCAACTCCTTTGCAAAAGAGACAGAATGAGATCAAACCCAATTATTCCACGTTTTAACGCCAACCACAGTCTGAGAACCAGTCATCTCTCAACATTAACATTTCTTATGAACTAACAATGGAGAACACAACTTTACATCATGAATTATTAATCTTGATTTGTTCATTGTACATGCACATTTATTAACATTCAGCGTGCAGGTTGTTCTGCTGAACATAAAATAAGATATTTTGAAGAATGTGGGCTGACCTCCATACAAGTTTTTTTTTGTTCTATGGAAATGAATGGGGACCAGAACATCTCTTCTTTTGTGTTCAGCAGAAAGAAACTCATACAGGGTTGGAACAACGTGAGTAAATGATGACTTAACTATGCCTTAAATGCATTAGTTGCCATGAACTACCTTTTTAATAATGTGTCATATTTAGCATTGTACTCTCAAGCAGAGGCGTGTAGATGGAGAGAGTCGTGGTCATGCACACACATAAAGCAGAATCAGTGACACAGTGATTTTTCAAACAAAATCTTCATTCTGCACGGTAGGTTAAGGAGTAATAACCTGGCGTACCGTGTTCATCCATCACCTTTCTTGCCCATTTCCACTGCTGTGACTCAAACCGCAGCATTCAGATGGAAAGAACACAGTTAAACACAATTTTGATCATAGGCTAGATGCTTGTCATCTGATCGATTTTAACTCTAGTTAAACAGAGGAAAAGCAGAAAATCAACTTCCTTCGTGCTCTTGCATCACTCCAGGTAAAAGCTTTAATCACAGACAAATATTCAGGATGAAAGTTTGGCTCCAAACACAAGAGGGCAGCAGAGCATCGCCAACAAACGCTGCAAAACTCAATTTTGAAATACATTTTTTAAATACTTCAAAAGATAACTATACTGTAAAACACAACAACAAGCACAAGCAAAACTCCCAACTGATCCCCAAGCCCTCATACAATGTGAAACAGACTGAACTCAACACAATTCAATTCAACTCATAAATAAATACACAGTTTAAAAGAAAAAGTTTTTCAGCATGAATTTACATTTATGAATATTGTACTTGCATAAGAACAATATGAGGTTTGCAAGGGGGAAACCTTTTTATTTTTTTTATTTTTTTTACATATTCTGAAAAACCAAAAATCACATCTCTAAACACACAGGGGTTCACATATAATTGAATGAATTCAAGATTTAAAAAAAATTCATTTTGAGAATTCTGAATGGTTCACCATGTCTTGACATCGAAAAAAAACTGAGCTGAAATATTACTCTAATATTTGAGAACAATAATATTGACCAGTTTAATAGAGAAGGGAATACAGCAGTAGGCCTATAATTGCATTTTCACTCAGTAATTAGTTCTATATTCTAATAATAAGGGATTTTATGAATTTATTATTCATATTAATTTTACTAGCATATATTTCTTTTAGTAACATTATAAAAATATCTAATTGTGTCTTTGATGTCGTTTACATCTATATATCTAGTGTGGAAGCGTTTCTAATCATTAGCTCTGCAAACATATTATTCCAGTTTGTCCAAATATGAAATGATGCAGAGCAGCTTTAATTACCTCTGCTCTTTCTAATTGGCATTAAATATGAAACTCCCCTTCCTGTTGTAATTGTGCGAAAAAATTGTTTACATGAATTTATAATTGACATCAAGCCAGAGAGGTGAAAACACAAGCTTTGAAAGTCATAAATATTGACGGGCAAGAGATTCAGTGTTGGTTTAATTATCCGTACTAATTAAAAAACTGGAGCTAAAGTAGTAAACAAGATGAGCAGTTTCTCTCTGCGCTGCAAAATAAATCAAACAGGCAAGTGCAGGAAAAGTCCAGTGAAGTTTATGAATTGCATTTACATTATTCAGCTAGCAGACGCTTTTATCCGAAGAGGAAAACAACAAGCGATTCATCCTAAAGAGGCAACAACATGAGAAGTGCTAATACAGAGTCTCAAACACCATCCAGAACAGGGATAAGAACAAACAGAAAAGTCAGCAGTGCATTTACATTGATTTATTTTATCCGAAGCAACTTAAATGGTGATCATTAGAAGTGTAACAGGATACTGATGTTACTAACTCAATTTGACTCCAGCAGTTTGTTCTCTATGATATTTTGTAGCACTGAAAATTTAAATGTGAATCTAGTGTCTGAGCAAGTGAATGCAAATGTATTTGAGTATCAGACCATTCAAATTCATAATCGAGTATATACCTATAATTCCCTGTAATATATTTAACTAATTTATAGATACTTATATATAACTGTACAGGACTTTTAGGCAACACTGATTTTTTTTATTTTAGACATTCAGTCAGCAGTCATTAGAGTTTTAGCAGACAGTCTGCTTAAAATCACTTTATATTGATGGACATTCTACTGACTTTAAGTCACTTTGCAACTTCATGTCAACTTATTCTACTAACCCTAATCCTAGCAGTCCACTAATACTCCAATGACTGCTAGTTTACATACAGTATAGTTGCAGTTACTTATATAGTCAAATAAATATGCAAAGAAAGGGAACAATCAAAATAAAGTGTAACTGATTTTTATAGCTGTTTCATAAGATGGCAATGGATGACCATTGCTTTCCTCTCATTCTGACTTAAATAGCCAGTCCTCCTCCTCCTCCTCCTCCTTCATCCTATGCATTCGGTGTAAAAATAGCACGCAGTACGCAGGCGTGTAAATAGCATGTTCCCACTC